AATAATAATGGGATAAGAATTCCAGAGATTGCTGCTCAAGTTTCTGCATATCTATTGCCCCATCCCCCATGATTAGCCAAACTATCAGAACATAATAAATAATGCAAAATTAAAGCCAGGATATAAAGTTGCTCAATTTGTGCAATTTATAAAGACCACAACATGGAGTTTTTCCTGGTACGTTGACTATACAACTCTAAAGCAGAGCATGTTACTCAAGTACAGTACTTCTTTCAAATAATTCAACTTGAAGGGTGTACATGTCTGCTGCTAGTGGTCTTCCTGAAGGTAGTTTTTTGCTATCTTTCAAACTGTGCTTGCTCCTTTTTCACTGGAATGTTCTGTTCTGTTAATAGAATCCATCCATATGGAACATTTGTTTCTGCTTTCTGTATGAGTTGAGTAAACAATATGAAAGGATAATCCTTTCACAACTACAGGTAGCCAGAATGACTGCAGTATAGCACAGAAGCCCATTCTATGTATGTGACGAAAAAGGTTTCATGGGACTAGTTATTGGAAAGATTACCATTTTGCCTTGAATTTCAGACCACTAATTATTTATTGTGCACATTGGTTTGCCATTCATGCCTTCTCTCCTAGTACAGAGCAGCTGTTATCAGTTGGCATGGGGAAATGGCTGCCTCTGTAGCAGATTTCGGGTGCTGCTAAGGTTAGTCATGTTGGAACCAGATGGATCTGAATCATGGGGCACATACTGCTGGAAAACTGTTCCATACCAGCCTTATGGAAGAACAAGACTGTCATTGAATTCACTGGTCTTTGTATAGGAAGGATTTAATAGGAGGTTGTGCCCCATTGTTAAATTAGTTGATTGTGATGCAGGGAATGGAGAAGCCATTTTGGATTTTCCACCATAGCTATCATAATTTCTGTGAACCAGTTCAAGTCCAGTGACAGAAGAAAGCTTTTGTCTCTTTCCACATGGAACGTTCTATATGTGATATAAAGTGGTATGTCTAAGCCTTGGGCGTACATGCTGTAAGATAGATCTGGCTCTACTTACAGATCTCTGTCCAGCATGTTCTGACTCTCAGAAGCATAGCATCAAAACTCTCCCTTCCCATTATATTTACACAAATATTTATGGGAGGACAGTGAATTGAGGCTGAACCCCTCTGCTCAAAAGTCGTCTACTGCAGCTATATCTTGGAATTGTCTGAAAAAGAGAAAGTAGATCTAGCAAACCTGAAAGCCACCAGCCATTTATCTATGCCAGTGCTCCCTCTTCCATTCGTTCTCTCAACAGGATTTTGGCCTGTTTTCCTCTAAATACTGAAAGTACTGTAGTCACTCCATAATATTACATTACCCAAATGTTTACTGTCCAGATACAGCTTAAGAACAGCACCTTTTGATTTTCACTGAATATTAGGAAGAAAGAAAGCAGAAGACTTTCAAAGAACATATACCAAGGACCCAGACTAAGGACTTCTGGAAAGACCAAAGAGACAATATTCACGCTATTTCCTTCTTGCTTCTTCCTCGGACTATCTTGGGCCTTTAAGAGCAAGCTACGAGGTTGGGATGCACAAATGAAGGGGGCACTCTACCCACTCTTGCCCAGATAACTTGCACAAGCGAGCTACACTCTTGTCAAAGCCACCATTGTTCAGGAAGTTTATGGATCTTTGTTAGACATCTTAATTTCTTAAACCTATGGGAAATAATCATCATGGTTAAGAATAAGGGAACAAAGACTCAGACATCTTTATTTCTTAAACCTATGGGAAATAATCATGGTTAAGAATAAGGGAACAAAGACTGTGTGATGCCTTTCTTCGAGGATCTTACCTTCTTCATGGGTCTTATTATAGCCTGTCCAGAGACTGTCTGGAGCCAGCCCTATGTGTATCTTGTAACTGATGTGGCTTTTTTCAAATGTATAAATGTGTGGAAACTCAAACTACTATTGTTTGCCTCTGTCTCTATAGAAAGTCCTTAAGTAATCCAAGGCAGAACTGTACCCAACAAATGTTGCATATATTGGGCCGGGATTTATTTGTCTACTACATCTAAAGTCTGTCTCCACCTGCGATCTTTTTTCCTCTAAAAGTCTCTGTTTGGAATAGCTGGTGCTATTTTGGTACATTGAAGGTTATCTGTTATGGATGACTAACACAATCAGTTGTATCCTAAGTATTTGTATATCTGAGAATTGTACTGTACAATGGTTTTCATTTTCTACACTATTTGTCTTGAGTAATTATTGGGGGAAGGGAGAGTGAGTTTTTTTGGTTGGAACCCACATCTTCCACAAGGATCAGATCTCATCTGGGGCTAGATTTGACTGTTAAGTTTCCTGTGGAGACAGAACATTTGTAAAAGTCACGGTGAGGTGCCAGTTTCTGGTGGCAAAACTCTGATGCAAAGGCACATTCTGGACAATCCCCATTTGAAACCAACAGGTAGTACAGAGGAGCAGAGTTGTTGATTTTCTGCCTCACGTTAAGGTTTCGCCCTGGCCTGCTTGGCCACCTGGTTCACTCAGTTCTATGCATTGTGCAATTTTGGCAACGAAAAGTTCAACTTAACTGTGAACTGGACAAAAGTTAATGGTAAATATCCCTTTACACAACAAGCTGGAGTGGGGCAACTAAGTGCAGGTTACTATCCTACGTTGGTGATGTTGCTATGTGGTATTATACATAAAACTAAAGCAACCAAATGTTTTTAAAATACACCATTTTGCACTTCAATATCTCCAAGAACTGGCCTTTATTCCTGGCCTGCCCTCTGTCTTCTACCCATCCAGCCATACATGTATATTTACAAGTATTTTAATTTTTTCTCCTTTATACAAATAAGCATAAACAAATGGGTTCATCAACATTCTCAACAAATAAATTAAGACAGTGGGTGTAGCAACATTACTGGGTTTTCTTCTCTCGTCATCTCCAAGTCCCAGCAAGGGGTGCTTGCCCCATAACAGTTAGCAGCATTTCAGGGTTGCTTTTCAATGTTTCCAACTTTGGCAGATAACCCAATAGTAACCAAATGACAGATAAAAGAGGAGGAAACAGGGAGATAAAATTAAGGAGCCTTAAAACAAGATGGAGTCTAAGAAGCAAAATTGGGCATTTCGGTCAGGTTTTTCCACTAAGTGTAATGTAAGGTTATCATTACACTGCAACCATTTCCCCTTGTGTGAAGCAAAATGGCTGACATGCAGCCGCTGTGCTGAGAACTTCCCCATCTTTGTTCTGTTTCAGTGGTTGCCATGAGCACAGGGAATAGCACAGAGGTAACAGCACGGTGAAGTCAAGAATCGTGTTAATTGGTAAAGTGACAGTGATGTCATTGTATTGTTCTAAGAATGATAACTGCAAGATAGCAGGCTATTTCGTGCTGAGTTTTTAAAGCAGTGTGAGTATAAAATCCAGTACATGTTAAATATTTCAAGGTCCACTGATTGCAATGGGAGATTTGGAAACAGTGAGCCTTAAAATTGCTTAATGATTGGCTGGGATGTGCCTGAGATTAAGAGAGATGTTATAGGTTAGTTTTTTTGTTCCAGTATGAAGCGTCTTTAGGCTAGACACTGCAAAGTCCTCAAGCCATGCAACACTCAATCTGAAGAAGGATCCTACTGGACTTGAACGTTTACATTTTATTACCTTATTGGTCTAATAAAAAGACTGCCCACTCTTGCTTTCAGTTGAAAGAATTATAGTAAGAAATGCAACGCTTTGTACTTTACACTTGCCTACTCTGATATACAATGTCCAAATATGTTGTAAGGGTGGCAAGTATAGCAGCAGGCAAGTCCCAGTCCATGCCTGAGGTGCTTTTGGCAAGCTTTTCTCAGGCCACTCAGAAGTATCTGATCAGCTGCAGCCTCTCCTTCACTCAAAAATCTGGTCTCTCTGAAAAGATCCTTATGGGGTTGTCCTGGGAAAATCCTGACTGCTGTTGGTGCTCTGTTGGTAGCTTCCTTTGATAATACTCTGTTTATCCAGTGAAGAGTTTTTTGACTGGATGTCATTAAACTCCATCTGCCCCATTCTATTTCAACGACTTACCTAGAAAGGATTTATCAAGGATTTAGCTTCATTTGGACAGTGATCGGGCATAGGTGGGAAAATATAGATGTAGCATTGCTGTGGAAAACTTCAAATGTGTCATGTGCACAATAAGAGGCTATTCCACTCTGGAATACTAATTTAGTATTGTCCAAGTATTAAGTTAGGTGGGGTGAGGTATGGAGTCCTTCAGAACACCATTCCTGTTTGAATATAGGGATAATTTTTAACTTCTTAGCAAGCCATAGTCAGACATCTCAGAGTTTGCCCCCACCTTGAGAAAAACAGGAGATAGTGGCTCATTCTGATTCGTGGTTAAGAGACATCAGGAGTCCCAAAGGATGGAGACAGGTGATGTCTCAGAACCAATGACCAAGTTAAGCAGAAAAAGAGACCCGATAATCATTCAAACAAGAGCAAAAAGAAACAAAGCTTTGGGTTTTTTGACTACAAACAGGGGCTAAGAAATGTTAACATTCAAATGAAGACAAACTATAGTCTGGCACTTAGAAATGCAAAAGGATTGAAATGCTGGATTCCCTTTCAGGAAGAAGGCTTAACTGGTCCATTCTATTTGGCAAGTACCTGATCTCTGTTCTCCTATCTTCACCCCCTCCAAAACTGGCTCAGGTTCTTGCTTATATAGCTTGTAGTGTGCAAGCAACCAAAATCACATTGACATCTTTTCTGTACTCCCTCTCACCTAGCAAGTAATTATAGGCAGAGGCAAGAACAACTAGCAGGTGGGGGGGGCAGTGTCAGCAAATAGCAATCTGAAAGACAGAACCAGAGAGAGAAAGACTAAAGGATGGTACAAGGTGGTCGGCTCTTGGTGATCTTCTCAAGTGGCTCCCCGTTGCTGGCCCTCCGAATAGCTTCAATCAGCTGGAGAAACAGAAAGATAAAATCAGAATCATTAATTCTTCTGAAACTGGCTGATACTGTCCTACTGAACTGGAAATCCAGTACAGTGGTGCCTCGCTTAACGAGCGCGCCACATAACGACGAAATCGCATAGCGATCTGTTTTTCGGATCGCTAATGAGATCGCTTAACGTTTTTCCTATAGGGCACAAAAACTGGCTGATACTGTCCTACTAAATTGGAAATCCAGTAGCTTAGAAATGCTCTGGGAAAACTGCTGTGGCGACGAAATCGCATAGCGATCTGTTTTTCGGATCGCTAATGAGATCGCTTAACGTTTTTCCTATAGGGCACAATTCGCTTTGCGAAGACCGGTAAGCGTTTCGCTTACCGATCTTCGCAAAACGAAGCCCGACGATCAGCTGAAGCCCGGAAATGGCCCAAAATGGCTGCGCACAGCATTCTCACGCCCTTGTTAAGCGAGGCGAGGGCACGAAAATGGCTGCCGGCCATTACGAAGCTTCGTTGAACGGTGAGTATCTGGCCCATTTGGAACGCATTAAACCATGTTTAATGCGTTCCAATGGAAATCCCTGCCCCGTTCAACGATGCTTCAGCATAGCGAAGGTTAATCCGGAACGGATTAACCTCGCTATGCGAGGCACCACTGTATCTTAGAAATGCTCTGGGAAAACTGCTGTGGTTTCACACCCACACCTTCCTTCCCTATTACTCTAGAATTAAAGCAAAATGTAATTATAACAAAATGGTCCAGCAGCAGATAGATCAACTACAATTAATTACAATTTCATTGGTGAAGCTGAAAGGACATGCTTTTTAGATCTTTTTTAAAAATAATTTGGTTTCATGATGTTAATTGTAAAATCCAATGTTAAAAATGAGCTTACTTTGTAACACATGAGAAACATATTACTTTTATAAAGCCATAACTTTTGTTGAAGGAAACATTTCCTTTCATCTGTACTTTGAAAGCTGGAAGAAGGAAAGGAAAAATCTGCAGCCTTCATTAAGTGGGTTCAGCCAATTCGCCTTGCCTCCATTTTGCAGCAAAATACTTCTTAGATAATTAAACACATATAAGAAAGGGTAATTACTGGTATTTTGCACTTTGGGGATTACCACCAGGTGACTGTTAGCATGGACTCTCAAGCTGTCTTCCCAAAACAATAGACTGAAGTTATGGGTGGGTAGGGGGACACACAGGGAAAGAACTCACATCCTTCTCGTAAGGAAATCCTCCATTTTCAAGTTTGGAGAAAACCAGCTGCCCATTTATTTCTATTTCAAAAGCACCTGTAAGGAAAAGGCTGTGTGAAATGCTGAAAAACAAAGAACCTGAAGAAGCTTGATCCCCATCAAGCCTAGCATCAAGTTCATGCCAGCTGTTGTAACATCCAGGCAGAAAAGAATCACTCACCCATCAACATGTTAAGTACCAAACCAAGGCAGAGCTTAGGAAATTTATTTTTTGGACTATAACTCCCAGAATCCACACTGCTGAGTTGAGCAGACCCAGAGAAGAGAAGGTACACTGTAGGATGCATGTTTAGATTTTACAATCTGATTGGTTAGTTCTCACTGAAACTTCATGTTCACTTACCATGCACCTAAGAATACTTCACCTCAACCGTCCACCTGGCATGAGAAACTCACACAAGGTATACAGAGATTCCCTAGTAGATGGGTTTGTTGGAAGAAGCTTCCTTATAGCAGAAGTTTTGAAAAAACAGTGCCATAAGGAACATCTAGTCTGCTCCAGCCTGCTGCCTTTAGTAGCAGAAACTCAACAGATGGTAACCTAACCAAATATTTCATGTCAGCATGCTTATAAGGCTTTTCCATACAAAACAGAAGCAATAAGCCTTTTTTAAAAAAATCATGGAAGGGCGACCCTTCTTTGGAGAAATCACTTAGGGATTACATATCCAGTGTCAGGATAGAGAAAAAAGAGCTGGCAGTTTTCTTTCTGATCCTGCTTTCTCACAAGCCAGGGATGGGCAAAATGTGTCCCCTGCCTTGGCACTACTGAGTTGTAACTCTCCACATTCCTCTCTGTTGACTATTGCTGGCCAGCAGGGTGGATTTGATTTAAACGAAATAAATTTAAATCACCATTTATATTTTGAAAAAATGATTTTTTGATGATTTAAATTGTGTTTAAATCATTTTTTAAAAAATCATTTTTAGTCACTCTGCTGGCCAGTGACCAGTATCTAATGATAGCTGAAGGTCTGTGTCTTGCCTACCCTACCCTAATGGAAAGCTTAACTGCTATGTTTGGAGGGAAGCATTAGAGAATACTGTAGCATGTGGAGGAAAATAGGATTAAACACCATCTCACATGACAGTTAAGCATAAATGGGATCTTTTCTTTTTTCTTTCTTTCTTTAAGCCTAAGTGTTAACGGGAAATGGCAGGACTAGATCCAAAAGGTCTGTGCATTACATCCAGTCAGCTGGTTGGCCTGACATATTTCACTATCCTCATGTTACCTTCACAACAATACTGTGTGAGGGATTCATTCACTGTATTACTGAGAAAGTTTAGCAGCTACACTGACTGTTGGCACAGAAATTTCTGAGAGACTCATACCTGTCCCACCAAGGCGTGATTCAATTTCCACGTCAGGATATTCTTCTTTTACTGCATTTGCCAGCTCTAGGTAAGCGGATTCAAAGCCACAAGGTTTGCTGGAAAATAAATTTCATTAGGGCATCAAAAGGAAGCTGAAGAAGGGAAAAGATGTGAATGTAAGTAGGGCGAGTGCTACTAGGGATAATTTAATGTTTCTATGTGGCCACCATATCATTTTGTTGCAGTTGCTTAAAGGTAGCACTAAAATGGCTCATTTTTCTTATGAGATCAATATTCAAAGGCACAAACTATTCAAGTACTGTTTAACACACATACACACATTAGTGCCATCAATGGTTGCATGCAAAAGTAATCAATCCTTCCTAACAGGACAGCACTGAAAATGACATTTCAGCATATTTGCCTTTTCACCTTCATCAGGGAAAAAGTGAAATCTTAAGGCCATGATAAGGACAACTGATCAAAAGTTTGTGTTTCACTGGAGAGAATTATCATTTCCTTCCTCAGCCAAGGTCACATTATTCATAAAGCTGACTAGGCTGAAGCTTGGGGGCCCCTCAATTCTTTTGCTGAGGCACTCTAGGCCTCCACTGTTAAAAGAAGAGTCTGATACACCTGAAAGCCTCGGGGCCCAGTCATGGGTTAACACAGCCCTGCCCTCAGCTTCCCCATGTTCTTCTTCCAACGAGACTGATATCATTCTCTGTCTTTCCCAATGTACAACAGACATGGGTCAACGGCTAGTCTACACACCAGTTACACCTACACCTCTTACCTTCCAAGTCTGCTGAGCCTCAAGAGATCTAAACACTACAATAAAAATTGGATGTAATATTTGGGTGCAAAGTCCCTTTGTTATCCAAGCCTATAATAACTGGGGTGAAGGTGGGGGAAGAGATTCAAAATTAAGTTTCTTGCAACAAATACCACATCTTGTGGAGCCCTAGAAACCAAGAAGCCTTATTTGACTTAAACTTTTGTGAGGAGCAGCCCACTTCATCACTGCAATTCTTAAAACTTAAACGAAATGAAAGTTGTTAGACCTCAAGGTGCCAAAGTAAACTATGGAAGGAAATGGCCTGCAGTCCATTACCCTGAAATAAACGTTATCCCTTAAGATGCCACAATTCTTTTGTTATACATGCTAAAACAGGCAAACAACCTTTTTGAAACTTCCCTTACAAGTAAAAACTGTTCGTCTTTACAACACCGCAACACAGGGGGCTGCTTCTCCAATACTAAGATGTGTTTTGCAGGCTGCATGGGGCAGGGGCTTCACGCTTCTGACACTATGCAAAATACTACATGCGCCGATAGCGTTGCAGTTGAAGGTTGTTCAGTGCTTTAGGTCTCTGGCGGCAGAGCCAGAGGTTGGGAGTTTGATTCCCCACGGTGCCTTCTTGACAGGGGCTGGAATCGATGACCCATAGGGTTCCTTCCAGCTCTGCAGGTCTAAGATGATGATGATATAAGCACTGTCCATAGGAGAAACTTCAAAGGAGAGAGCGATCATACCGCCCAGGGGGCTGCTAGTCGCCTTAAATACGCGAATGGTCTCACTCGAATATGGCGGGGCTACAAGGGAAACTCACTGGGACGCAAACCAGAAGAACAGATAAGCGGCTAAAAGGGATGGGACCAACCCTCTAAAGAGGAACTACGGTACGAGCCTTCCCTTACAGCGGGCGGAGCCTGGGGTTAAGTGAGCGAGGCCTGCACAGAAATTTCGCTCACCAGTATTCCACCACTATTCGGACCCCCTTCCCAGTAACGGGCGCCCCCTCAGCGGACGGCTCTCCGGACCCGTCGCTCATGGCGGCCCTGTCAAGTTCTGACTCTCCCGCCTCCACTCAGCCTTTCCACTGGGTCGACAATCCAGGTGGACTTCCGGTGTCGGCCGCGTCACGTGCGGAGGGAGCTGGTTTCTTTTCTGCTTCCCCTTCCGGAATGGGGGGGGCTATTTCGTTTCCGGCCCCTTTGAGCCGGATCACGTGAAGAGGGTGGGAGTCCCGCTACTCTTTTTGCTCTCGCAGACTGTACGCCCCTTTGCCCCCTCCCTTCCAGGACGCCGTTGTGCTCTGATCCCCCCTGGCGGTTGTAAGGGGGAAGTGCAACCATCGCAAGGATCATTTTGAGGCCTGCCGTCCAGCTGTTCAGAAAGGCAATCTCTCCCGGTCTCTTTCAAAGCATCTCCCCCTCCCACAGCGTGCCGGATTTTACTCAGAGCTTGCAGTCCTTCTTTCTTTAGATTACAACTCCCAGTATCCGCAGTCAGCCTGTACAGGAGTAGGGGTGCAACTATACAGTGAATGACTATTATACATACCCCCTATCTCTTTCTAGCTTTTGATAGAAAAGGCTCAAGGGGTGGGGACAATAATTGGAAATTAATAAAGGTACTGTAGTAGTGAAGAGTCTCGTAGCATCTTCAAGACTGCCCTTTTCATTTGGCACTGGCACACATTCTTGAGGGCGAAACACAGAAAGCTGGAGCTCTGTGGTGCCAATTTGTAAATGATTCTGAAAGATCATGTAGCCCCCTAAACACATATCTTACATTTTGATTAAAACTAAGAGGAGGCACACGCCGACCCCCGACCCCCAAAATATGTGACAACTAGAGATGGGGACGGAGCACCAACATGGCACTTCTTAGTTCGTGGGTCATCAAACTTGACAACTCATGAAACACAAATTGTCTCCCAGTGTCCCAAAGAACCATGAATCAATTCGCTGGGTCATCGGGTAATTTTTTTAAAAAAAATACAGCCCCTAGGGCTATCTTAAAAAAAGCAAGCCCTGGCCCCCACAGCCTTCCTGGCCCCCACAGCATAGGAAGAGGGGGGAAAGGATCAAAGTAATCCGGCTGCACTCCCTTTGCAAAGGCAGTTTGGCTGGGCGATGGTTTGGATCGGGCTTTCCCCCCCCTTTCAATCCCCAGTGGCATAGTAGAGGGAGAAAAGGATCAAAACACTTCCTAGGCTCCGGATCAGTTTGATCCCTTTCCCCCTCTTCCTAGGCCACTGAGGATAGAAAGAGGGGGAAGGCCCCTCTTTCTATCCTCAGCCATCCCCCAGCCCCAAGGGTAGGTTTCCCTTCTGGCAGGCTTTAGTAAGCCACCGAAGGGAAAATCTCTCTCTGCGTATGCCTCGGAGGAACAGCAGATCCACAGAGGCATAAGCAGATGGGGAACGGACAGATATAAAAGGATTATATTCACTGCTTCGTATTTGTCTGGATCTCTGGACCCCAAGTATACGAAGCAACAAATATCTGACGAAATCAGAGATATTCATTAAATACTGTATCCTGATTCGTTTTTATATTGTCATTAAATACTGTATCCTGATTTGTTTTTTATATTCGTCTACATGTCTAGTGACAACCATGTGACTTTAAACCGATTTTAAAAAGCCTGATCCAGCTCCTGATTTATCTCCATAGTGTAACTGCAACCTCAGTTCCATAATGTATTCCATCTGTTTTTCTTTCTTTCTTATAAACCCTAAAACTAACTGGGGCAGACAAGCTCTTCATTAAAAACAGAACACAGATATAGCAATTATTTAACTCTTTCCCTTTTCATTCTTTTCTAGGGGAATAAAACCCATAAATTGCCATCTCCTTTAGCCTGGAGCTTGCAAAAGTTATAGGGTGATGAGTTGGTCATAGAGCTTGCTATTTGGATTACTTTGGGTGTGGTTTCATTCACCCTATTTTCCAGGGGCCACTTGTGTTTTCATTAATGTTGACCCATGACACTGTTTTGGAAACTGTCCCACTCTTTTCTGGAACAGCACTGTTTATTTGGTGTGACTGAGAGCGTTCTTGATCATCCTGTTCTGCAGTCCTTGTGGTTGGTTAATCTGCTCCCAAATGGAGTTTTGGATGACATTCTCTGTGTTGACAAGCCTGTGATGTATGCAGTGGGTTGTGGCACTAAAAGGGACAACAAAGAAACTCCTTCCTCTACGTATTTTCATATTCTCTCTCTCTTTTTTTAAAATTAATAATGGAACAGTGAGATTCGAAATATATTAGAGGTGCCCTTCTGTACTGGTACAGTATCTGATGCAACAATGACTTGTTGACAGAGAAAAAAATTAAAGGGAGAAGGAATCACTGTAGCTGGAGGGAGACTAAATGTGAGGAAGGGGACATCTGTCATTAAAGAGCGCGAAAATGGACCCTTCTCATAGAAACGTCTCCTGTGTACATGGAAGGATCACTCAGGTGCAAAATAAAATAGATAAGAGCCTTTTAAGCACAAACTTCCCCAGTCTAGATAGAGTGGGCACAAACCTTAGTTTTCTTGACCATACTGTCTGGGGGATACTTAAAGTCCTTCCCCAGCTCCAAAACACCTTTTCAAAAATAAAGAGTTCTGATTATCTTTCCCAGAACTCAGAATGGATACCTTTTTTGGGCTATGTTAACCGGAAAAGTCGAAGAGTTGTAATCCAAAAATGCAACTGTGCCAAGCTCCGAGAAAGAGAAAGGGTTTCATTGTTTTTTTCTCACACAGAGTAGAGAAGATGGTTTTGATCCAGGAGAGGACAAGAATGGGAATAACTAATAAACCAGCTCTCCCTGCCTTCTCTTTTCCCCACTTTGTATTTGGATGATATAAAGCCTGTCTCCGTTCATCCAAGCAGCTGTTCCCAGGCTTTCTTTGGCTTTCTTCGTCCTCTCAGAACACAGGGTTTATATACAGTTTGGTTTGTTCTCAGAGTGTGCAGCTAAGCACTATGTAGCTTCAGACTCCTGCAGCTATGTAGCTTGACCATTCCTGTCTGCCACAAGAGCTTCCCAGAAGCTTCCAATGACTACTCAAAATTCCTCCAAAACTCCCAAAAGAAAAACAGTTCCAGCAGAGAATTCCAAGCAGGGAAATGGATCCTGCTGAAGGGAGATCAGGGAGATGGAAGTAGGGAGAAAAGGGCAGTGCTGATGTTGTTATTGTTGTTTGGTGCTTCCCTTTTAAGATACAGTGGTGCATTGCTAGACGATGATAATCCGTTCCACTGAAATCACTGTCTAGAGAAATAATTGTCTAGCGAAAAGCAAATCATCGTCTAGCGAAAATCGGTTTGCGAAGCAGGGACCAAACATTGTCCAGCGAAATTCCCCCATAGGAATCACTGTTTTGCAAAGCGCTATAGCAATCGCAAAAAGTCAATGTCTAGCGAAAAAACTGTCATACGGGGTAACTGTCTAGCGAGGCACCACTGTAATTGGTGTTCAGTCTCCCTCTCCCTTTGCTAAACCCCAAGGAAAGCCTTCCCTTTGTCTTGTTGTTCATTTAAATTCGCTTCTTCCTGTTGTGATTCACTGATTATTTCAAGGGCACCCTTTGAGACATCAGCAAAGGCAGTGTGTATAAAGCAGTGACAGCAGAGAAATTCTCAGGTCTTTTCCTGCAACTTTTCAAGCCCAGCCTTGAGGCAGGAGCACCCACCTTCTCTACTAGGCTGTGTATATTTTAATGTGCCAAAAGCCTAGCAAGAGAAGCTGGCTTGCCAAACTGCTCACCTTTTCCTCGCTCATCATCACCTTCACCCACTTCCTTCAAACATCCACAGGTGTTTTATGCTCCTGAAATTGGAGTTTCTTGTTTAAAAATTCCATTTGTATAACCTCTGCATTAAACCCTAAGGATTTTGTTGTTGCTGTTTGTAAACATTCTAGCATGACCCTGCTTGCCAGATTCCAAACGTGGGGGTGGGGATTCCCTGTGGATGCGGTTCCTGATAAATCCAACACTTTGCAGGACAAAATGGAATGTCGGTGATGCCAATTGCCCTGCCTAGAAAAGTCAACTTCATCAAGATAAAATTGTCCATTCCAGCTGCCACATTGTGCCCAGGTACTCCAAGGTCAATGTGTGTCACCTCACACAATTAGCTTTTGTCAGCTTCTCCCATTCACAAACTGGCAGTGAGATGCAGCTGGTCCTTCTGTAAGAACGGATTTTTAAACTGCACAGATAAAGCTGGCAAGATTGCCTTGTTCAAAGTTTATCTGCTTGGGCTTGATGAGGTGGACAGGACTTGATGGGAATGTAGTTTGTTGCTGGTTGGGGGCGGGGGGGCGGAGAGATCCCTTGTAGTCAAGGACTTCACATGGTCTTTGAGGTTGGACTGTTGGAGCAATAGACGTGTCTTCATGTGATTTTCCTTGACGGACTTCAAGGCCTGGTTGTAAGAGGGTCCTCTGTCTGTCCGTTCCTCTTAGTTTGTAGCTGGCCTGATTTGGCCTTGACTGTGCTTAGCTCTTCAAGAGGGACAAAAATAGCTTGGCACCATTTGCTTTTTGAATCACTCAGTGACTCTAGGTCACTTCTGCTCCATAAGGAGAGTGACCCAGACAGATTTGACCTGCGCATGGTACAGCAAGAGTCACCACTGTCTTCTTTTTGACAGACCTTCAGATGAATTTTGTGTCATCCCGCCTCAGAACAAGGGAGGGGAGGACTATAAGAAGATGGGATTGGTACAGAGTGAGCCGTGTTGGAGGGATCCTCCATAGTCATCACTATTTCAAACATCCAGTCCTGTCATCTTAGCTAAGTGTGAAGTATATGGGATTTCAGCAGACAGGGGAAGGGAGGAGGGAGTGGAAGGCGTGGAAAGAGCCTGCTGCGCAGTTACAAGGCTGAGTTGTTTTGGAGTAAGATGTGAAGCAGTCCTGAACCCATTGCTCCAGATGGTGGGGGCACTCAGGTAAAGAAGGTGATCTCATCCGCAACACACAAAAGAGGTGGGACTGGCCCTGGAAGAGAACTGTGGGGTGGTCTTCTGCTACACGTTTTTGAAGAGGCTTATATCTGCAATCATCATCCACCCCAGCAAAGTATTTCCTCGGTCTGAACAAAAAAGAGAAGCTGTACTGTCACATCCTGCTATAAGGTAATCTCTAATGGGGGATGGGGACTCTAAGTTGATGTCTTGCTGGGTGAAGAACAAGACATGGAAGCCATGGCCCCTCATCAAGATGGCAACCTTCCCAATCTGTTGCATATGGGAAGGGGCTGTTTATGGTTTCTTAGGGGTAAAGCAAGTTTATTTGTTTCTTTCCAAGGACAGCAACTTCTCATCTTCCCATAGTTAATTTGTAATCAATGTTGGACTGAAGAAGGTTCTGTCAACTCATGTCTGTGGTTATTAAGAGATAGGAGAAGGCACTCTGCATTTGGTCAGTGGCACTGTCCTCACACTAGCTCCTAGTTTTAGCATTCAAGACTCAAAATAGGAGAAAGATTTCCTGAAGGGCTAATGAATGTGAGAGTAGTGGCTTCTTTGGAAGAATCACTATTGTTGTTGATCGTTTGTTGATACGAGAGCACTAACATTGGCAGGCACTCGGACTTTGAGGACTGCTGATATACTTCAGAAAACAGTAGTATTCACACATTCAAATGTCCATTCAGATTGGAAGGGCTGATCATAACACAGGCATGGAATATAAGTCTTGTATGCTGGAAATTCAGGATTTAGTCACCGGCATCCCCCATTAAAAGGATCTTGTGTACCACTACTGGGGGAAAAAACTTTGCTTGAGTCCTTAGAGTGGTACATGCCCTGATAGTCTTTGATATAGACTAAGACAGCTTCATACATGTGTGTGTGCGCTACCTACACTGGATGTGTGTGTCAAAGTGCGCAAGCAAACATCTGTTTTTGCATTGTGGTTTGGGGAGGTGATGTGATAACAATTGCACACATATATGCCAGTGAAAATATGCTTGCCGTTATTGGCCCTCAAACAATGTTGACTAAGACTGTGACTACACAATCAAATACCATAGGATTTGCTGCAGTTATAAAACAGGTTGATTTGAAGTTTTTTTTCCTGATCACATGACGCAAAGGCTGATTTGAATCAGTTCAACCCTTTTTGCTTCCAACGAGGCTTATTTGCTCTGCTGCTGGGATCTTCTAGTTTTTTTCAAGCCAAAATGAATCAAATGGACTTTTTCCTGTGTGACCAGTTGATTCATTCTTGTAAAGATGGAGGGTGTATCTGTGGGTAGTGAGTGTTTCAGTGATGCAAGCAGTTGGGGATCACAGGATCACAGGAAGACCTGCTCCTATGTTCTCCTCCCCGCCCTGATTGTCCTCTGAATTTTAATAGTTTCTTTACTATATTAGATTAGCACTGCCTGTTCACTCTATCATCTTATCACTAGTATTAATATACTATCTTAGTGCTAGACCACTTCTGGAAAAAAAACATTTTTAAAAATTACAAACAAAAAAAGAAACAAGCCAGATGAAATAAAATATATTCCTGTGGTATGTAGTATTTCTCTACCTGCTAGAATGCTGTTGCCTCTTCTAGAACACTGTACAACCATTTCAAAACCAAGCCGCTTGACAACGAGCAATAAAAGGATTGGCAGAGGTGGGACCAGAGGAGGGAAGGAAGAAGGGGCCCCCTGGGCTGAAATGTGAATTGGATCACATTGAGTGTGGACACTCAACTCTCAAATCAATCCACAGCCTCTGTGTGATCACTACTTGCAAATTCAACTGTAATACAGGCTGAAAACCGAATTGCAGTATAGTCACAGGCTAAGTTTGTATATTCATTCATGTGTTTGCATTGATGAAAATATATTTTCCCCTGCAAATAGTAGATTGCAGGACTGCTGAAAGTGGTTTGAGAAGAAGTTTGCTTCCTGTGGGGTATTACACCTTTTCTTGTCCCCTTCTTGCTTCTGGTGAAACAGGTTTCCAAAACAGCCTAGAACATGCTGAAGTTAAAGTGAGGCAGGTGGCACAATCACAAAGAGCAACACACCCCTTTCAAAACACCTTAAAATATCTGAAAAACAGCTGTCTGTGCTGTCTATGCTACCCTATTCCCATGTTTCTTATCTGTATGATATGATTAGATGGAGGCACAAGAGAGGGCCTTCATTGTGGCTGCTCCCAGGCCTTAAAAATCTGTATGATATGATTAAATTACATTGTGGCTGCTCTCAGGTGATGGAATTCTGTCCCTTAGGTGAGCCCTCTCCCTTTTATCTTTCTGCCAAAAGTTGAAGACCCACCTCTTTAGACAGGCTTTGAATAACCATCACTGAGTTCTTTGGATGCTGGTTTTTAGCTCAGTAAGTTCACTTCTAAAGTTTTAAATATTTTAAAACATTTAATGTACAGTATTTGTAATTATTATTATTATAGTTTAATTGTTTTTTAACGTATAAATTATTGTGCTTTAAATTATAATTAACATCTCAGGTCCCCTCATTGGAAGAAAGTCAGCCTACAAATGATAGCTTTAAATTTTAATTAACATCTCAGGTCCCCTTATTGGAAGAAAGTCAGCCTACAAATGATAGAAAATAAATAAATTTATCTGACATAATATATTAGGTTTCTGAGATTCAGGTTTAGTGGCAATGCAGGGGGTGCCCTTCATCTGTTAAAGTCACGGTGCCCCATAGATTGATCTGGGTACTGATAGATTGATAGGCAGAAGGATTGTTCAGTCAAACATGCTGGTCATGTTTGACCTTCGTGCTTTGTGGGCCAGATGGAACCTTGCAAGTGTATATTCTTGGAGTGCTGTTGAAGACAGCCAATGTTGACATATAGTATGTATAATACTATACAACACAGAGACATCCTCAAATGCTGAGGATTCCCCTTGGGTCCAGTTGGCAGTTATCCTTCAAGCCAGGGCACAGGGATGGTGCACCTCTCCATCCCATGACAGAGGGGCTATCCCTTGACCCAGGTAAGCAATAGCCTAGCTTTCCTCTGTTGAAACTGGCAGGGAGAGGAAGAAAACAATCACTCTCCACCCTCTTCTAGAGGAGGAGAGCTCCTATGTGCTGAGTGGCACAAACTCCTTCTCTCATTAGGTCAGCCTGTTATCACCTTGGTAAGATAAGCTACTGTTAGAGTAATCAGTTTGTAAATTTAGTGTGTTATATGTAGTTTCTTTCTTTGCTCATGGCTTCCATTAAGCTGCTGACATAACCTTCAGGACATAATATATACCGATACTGATTTTATACAGGAGATTTCCCATTCAATACCATCTGGAACATCTTTTGTTAGATGAACTACCAGCAGTGTATGGCTGTGGAAATATAGAAGTTTTAGGTACCATTGTCTCAGTCCCTGGAACAGGAAAAACCAGCAGAAGCAAGCAAGTGTATCTAGCCCACTGGCTTTACAATGAACCATAAAAGGAGAGCTGGAGATTGGCAGGAGGGCGGTATCAAAGGAAGTGCATGTGTGGACATGGATCAAACATCATTGGATTGAGGGGCTAAATCAACCTGAGGTCTTCATGTGGTCACCTAAACCAAATGCAGTCATAAAAGAGACTGTGAATCAAGCCAGTGCAAAGCTGAATCACTCTATTTGGCTGCCAGTGCAACCATGTCAGAAAATACATAAAGAGAGCAAAGGTCAGGCAATTTAAGCATCTTAGGATGGCTACCTAGAAAACTGATAGGAAAGCAATTGACTGTTCAAGCTGTTAAAAAGCTATTAAGGCTGTGGCTTAAACGATGCCCTCCACCTGAGATTACCTCTGCTCAACCTGTGTGTTTGTAGATAAGAGAAAACATTACAAAACACCTGGAAATTCTTGCTGCTCAAAGTAGGGTTGCAATGAAAATCATTTTTCATCAAATGTCACTTTTATTTTATTTATTTTTTTCGTTGCTATTTTGAATACTGGTATTGTAACTGGCTTTACAAGAGCTTCACTAAATGGCAAGATAGAAATATATATATATATTCAAATGATAATGTTGCTGTATTAGGCTGTCCAATACAGAAAATGTGTTGAACTTTCTGGCAGGAAGACTGGCTTCAGAGGGAAAGAAAGGTTGTTCCTTGGGGTTTGTTGCCAAGGACTTGGATTAGTGCTGACTGAAAACTCCAGCCACAAGATGACCCGGCAGTTCAACACGTTGCTGAGGCCTTCGCAGCTGCCCTGTCTTCATACCGCTCGCTAGTGTTGTGTGTCAGCTGTGATACCACCACACACCTCCCTCTGGGTCCCCTCTCTTCAGGAACGGCTTCTCAAACACGTACGCCTTTGGAAGTCACCCTTTGCCCTGATGCAGCATGTGTGTGTGTATGTGTGTGTTTTGCAGAATCACAAAAGGCCAGTCACTCTTCCCAGCAGTGAGTTTCTCCTCCCTCCCAGCTTCCCCCCCCCTCTAACGTTTTGGGAGCACCACATGTCCCATGGCCTTTGTTTCTGATGCCGGGAGGGCATTCCTAGAAGAGGCTCCTTCTTCCTGGAAATCTCTTGTAACCTCAGCCCCCTACAACACAGGACAACAGCCAAGCCAGAGATGTGAATTAATAGCTATAAAAGTATGGGCTTCTGGCAGAGAGAAGAGTGCTCCACAGTAGAATGGCACCTTGTCCCTCTGCTGGGCGTTCTCTTGTTTCCCTGCCTCAAGAGCTCTGTATAGGAACTCAGCAAGAGAGACTTATGGCACCTTGAAGACCGGCAGATTAATTTTAGCAGGAGCTCTTGCGGCTTACTGTCCACCTTCTCACATGTACAGAGCGCATAACTACCTTCTCCTGGATTAGAGCTGGGAAAAATGAGATGGCTGCAGCAAGAGAAGTGATGTTGTTTCAAGCCACGTCATCCTAGATGCTTGGAACAATCAGTGCCGGATTCATAGAAGAGGTTTCCAGTGGGAAGCTACATGTGTTTGGGTGGCCTAAAATGAAACATTCAAAAGCATTCCCTTCTTCTGTCTCCAGGGTGGCTCATGCCTCCAGAAGAGGATGGCAGGGGATCCAGTTATTGCACAAGAGTGCATCAGAGTGTATGCATATTAGCTGAAGGAAGACTGCGCCAAAACAGAGGGAAACAGATTGTGGTTTGGGAATGGTTACTTTCCATGCAGACAGGCCCTTGT